GGAAAGACACCTCTGAGTCATAAAATGTTGTTTCTTTTGAAAAACAACTTATAATGAACTAAATTTCTTGTCCTGGTAATATGTAGACTGTATAAATGTCTGCGTTCTGTCTCATTAGGTTTAAAACAATATATATTTTTTCAATTAAAGTTGAACAAAGGACAATGTTTGCTTTCAGAGGCAAGATTGAATTCTGAAAACAGTAATTTATTATTATTTTAGCTCTGACAGGCTGGGTGTTAATTTGGTGTTTATTCAACCTGCACTGTGCATACATTAAATTCTCCCCACAAATGAGTTCAGACATTCTGCATTAGGTGCATCGTTAATTTCTATGGCAAATTTCTGATTACCTTCCAACATTTACTCCCTTCAATGTATATCTGGCCTCGAGCACTCAAAGACCAAGTTAACAGGACTGTTTGGCTGAATCCAGACAAATGGATAAGCAAATCTTTATGCTCAGCAAGGCTTTCCCTTCTTTCAGGACAGCTGTACCTCTCTCCTCTGTGACCCATAGCTTTAATAATGGGTGCTATCCTAGGCTCAGATAAGCCAAGTGATTCACCTCCTCTACAAATCAATAAATAGCTCAACAACTGTAAGCCAATCCAAATCACTTCAGACCCATTCAGGGCCCAATCCTTAGCTTTCCCCCCTTGCCCCACTCCTTCTAGATGCCTGTAGTCCTTGGGGAAATTACTGTACATTTCCTGCCACAACTTGTTTCTGGCAGGCCAGATAACAGCACACCGGGCATCAGAAAGGGAGCACTGACCCAGGGCTCCAGCATAGGTCAGCCAAGGGTGAACACCTGAGGTAGGTGAAAAGCCCGGGAACAGACTCTGTTCACTCCCCAGATGGTCCCCTGGACTCAGGCACGGGCACAACCCCCTCTTGCCCACTATCGTAGTTCTCACACATCTGTCTGTCCCTTTGGTCAGAGCTCAGATTACAGCTGCTCTCCCCCTCCTCTCTGCTTTCTGCTGTTAACTGTCCTCTCCCTGTGCCTGCTTCTCCTCCTCCTGTCAGCATCTGCGCTTCTCTGACATCTGGTTCCTCCAATGTCCTGACACAACACTGGGATGTCACACACCCAATCTTGCTCACAAGTTGGTGCCTCTGTCTACCACCATTGCATTCTCTCTCTCTCTCTCTCTCTCTCTCTCTCTCTCTCTCTCCAGCATTACCTCAGTTTTCAAATGTAATCTGTTCCAGAAGACTGGACTGTTCGAGTTCCGAAACATCTGAAAACCAAAACCTCAATAGCCGACAGCTAGGCTTTGGGGATTTGCACTCAGTGGAAGCCGCGTTTCCTGTTTGACTTCTAAGGCGCGTTCAAAAACCGAAGCATTTACTTCCGGGTTTATGGTGTTCGAGTTCCGAAATGTTTGTCAACAGAGACGTTCAAAAACCAAGGTACCACTGTATTTAATTTTCAGATTTTGAAATTTACAAACAATTGTCAAACAACCAAAACAGAAAGAGAATTCCATAAATTCCCATGAATTTCCCTCCTCCCCTTTGTGGGTCCTTATGTTAACTTTTTTCTTCCTGCATCTTCTCTATTAATTCTTGAGAATGCAATGGTGGAATTGGATTACCATCCTTGCTTTTCTTTTCTTTTCTTTTCTTTTTAAGTGCAACATTTATTATTTGATTTCCTTTAATAAGTTATGTAGGCAAACAATGAAAAGCAAAGGTATATAAATTGCAATCTTTTCAACTATATCTACTACACCTGATATTCAGTGTCATAATACAATTCAATTTTACATTATAGAACCATTAACACCATTTGTCTGCACAGTTCCCTCTATTCTCAATCCTAAAAATATACTTAATGAATTTATAATCTTAACAGAAGAGAAATAATGATAATTGTTGCTCAAATTTATATCATAATGATTATATTGATTCTGATTGCAAAATGGTTAAATATTCTGATTAAATATTCCAATACAGAATGAGGTGTATGACAACTACCACTTAATGACAAACAACCGCTTTTGAGGTAAAGTGGTTGAGAGAATGGTCACCAAACAATTTCAGAATGAACAGATTAGCTGAACCCATTTCAATCTGGATTTAGACCTGCGTTGCCTTGTTTGATGACATGTATTGGGAGAGAGACAACCAAGGGGTGTCTCTGCTAATGCTCCTTGACTTCTCAGCGGCTTTCGATGCCATTGACCATGGATGGTATCCTCCTAGAGTGACTTTGCAAGTTTTGTATTGGAGGCACGATGATAATCCCGCTCCTATCTGCAGAACTGCTACCAGAAGTTGGTGAACTTCTGCCCGGCCCTGTGGCAATTGCACTGTGGGGGGTCCCACAAGTTTTCTGTCCCCCATGATCTTTAATATCTATGCTGCGTTAGGTCATGATCTGGAGATTTGGAGTGAGGTGGCCCCGATATGCAGATGACAGTCAGCTCTCTCCCTCCGTATCATCTGAACCAGGTGGGTCTCTGCAGGGGCTGGATTAGGGTCTAGAGGTGATAATAGCCCACATAAGGACCAGACCAACAAACTGAAATGGCCTCTTGACAGGGCAGATGTGTCTAGGAAGTGTGGAGATGGCCTATTTCAGAGGGAATTGCAGTGAAGGAACAGCTTATCTTGAGGATCCAACATTTATGGACCCAACATTTATGGCCCAGGTGGCCAAGGTACCAAAGAATTTCTATTTCCAGCTATGGCCATTCCTCATCTAGTCACAGTGACTGATGCTTTGGTCCACATCACTTGCGAGGCTGCCTTTGATGGGGGGGAGGGAGGGATAGAAAGATTGCGTGCTGGTTTAGGGGTGGGGGAGGAGAGGACAACTCTGCAGCCCAGCTGGTTTGAGGGGAGAGAGAGCTGTTGGGGGGGGGGGGGGGAGAAAGGACTGGCTGATTCCATTAGGCTGGTCATTTGACCTGCTTCAGCTGAAAAAAACTGGGCCTTTGATTCTTCCAGTTGAAAAGGTCAGTGCTGGAGAATGGGACGTGAACCCAGGTTAGTTGTGCCTGGAGACCTGCAGGCATTTGCCTCAGAGGGTAAATACTCTGTCAGGCTTCCTCCTTTCTCATGCCACCTTTTGAACAACCTGTCTTCTTACATCAACTAAGGCTGTTCCCAATTCATCCCCATCCCTCACAGGTGAGCTCTGTGTTTTTCTTTTCACTTGCTCCAGATGAGCAAGGCCTCTGCTCAAATCCTCTATGCTGCAACCCAACAGGGAGTTTTCCATCTCATTGGCCTCCCCAAACTCTTCTTTGCCTACAGCACCCAATTCCCTCAGCTTGTCCAGGGGACACCCAGAGGAGCCATGTTGGGTTGTCCTCCCCCCACTCTCAGGGTCCTCAGGATGCTGAGACCAAAGAAATGAGTGAGTCTGATATGGGGACCTTCTGCCTGAGGGTGCATCTTGAATTGGGGATGGCGCCAGGTCGGGGTGAAGAAGAGTGTGATTGACAGGGACAGGATTGGGGTGAGACACATAAGGGGGAGGGTCCTCTACTTCATGATCAGAAAATACCGGGGCAGGGGCAGAGGGTTTATGCACAGGAACCTTTTCTAAGACTGGCAGAAACTTGCAAGGCTTCATCAAAGCAGGTTTCAACGTCAAATCATTCAACAATTCTCCATAGTTATGTTCATCCCATTTCCCAGTGTTCCTAAGGAACTCCAACAATTTCAAAATTCTGCCGCCATCTATCATTCCAAATTCAGGCCAAACAACAAGTTTACCGAGGACATAAAGGGGCCATTCCTGCTGGCAAAATTGCCTTACTTTTTGCTTGGTCCAGTTGCCCCCCAGCCCTTCCGCCAGGACGGACCAGTTCTTTAGGACTCATCCCAGTGGACTACAAAGGGGCACCTTCCTAGACCCAGAACTCATCCTTTCTCTTCTCTTTTCCCCCTAGGTTTTTAGTTATACTTTTAAAATCTATAAATTTCATAAGTTTTACAAGCATTTTAACATGTCAATGCTTGACTTCCTTCCCTCTGTTTCTGTGATTCCTTAAATTTATTTTTTAATATCTTCTGCATATCCAAATTCATCTACTTGCTCATTTAATTATCTACTTTAAATATAAACTCTTATGAAACTGCAGGTTATTACAAGAATCCTGCCCATGTTTTTTATCTGTTTGCTATTTACCTGTAAATAGTCAATAAACCATTTCCATTTTTTAATAAAAAGTTTGTTATCTTGATTTCTTATTCTTCCAGTAAGGTTTGCCATTTCTGCATATTCCATTAAGTTTTTGTATCCATTCTTCCTTTGCTGGGATGAGTAGCATTCTTGCTGCTGCAGTAGCATACATAAGTAAATTTCTATACAGTTTACGTAGTGCTGTCCCTATAATTCCCCAAGGAAAAGCTTCTTGGGTTTTTTTTTACAAAGGTTATTTTGAACATCCTTTTCAATTCATTATACATCATTTCCCTGTAAGCTTCAATGTTACTACAAGACCACCACATATGAGAAAAAGAACCTTCTTTCTCTTTACATTTCCAACACTTGTTTGATTTAGGTTTATACCTTTTTATAGTAAGAGAACCCACACAAGTGACACTGACACAAACGCCCCCCACATACACTACGTAGAAGAATAGAAGCATTCCCACCCCACCCCACTCACCATCGCCCCTTTTTCTTCCTAACCTAACACTGTATGTAACACTAATGTCTCACAACAAATGAAGCTGATCTGTAGAAACCACAACTTGAAAAATGAGACAATGCACATATGTTTCAAAATTAACAATTCTTTAATGACAAATATATATATATATATTTAAAAAGAAATGAAGCAAAGGGAAAAGGACCCTGGAACCTATTCAGACAAAGCTGTCCTGCCCGTGGGAAGGTAGATAGGGGAGACCTGGCACACCTAACCCTGATAAAGAGAACCCCCCAAAGATAAAATCCTACGAGACCTAAAAGGAAGCCGAAAAGATAGAGAAAGGGGGCACCCGAGGGAACAAAATCACCTTGGAGGAAAGGCCTAAAAAACCCACCCTGAAGTCAAACCTCCAGTCCACCCCATCAGGGGATGAAAGACACACGGAGCCTCCGGAGGAAAGGAGAACATCGAGCCAGGGGATGACATGCTCCTGAATGTCATTTCTGAGTGCTTGGAGCAATCGTGGTACTCTTGGCCACTTTCACAGTTCAGCCCATCTGCAAAGGAGGGGTGGGCGTTGTAGAGGTGGCAGTCGTCGTAGCACCAGACTTCTTGATACACCTCTGCCCATTTCCAGTTCTTGGGCTCCTGCTGTCTGTCCTTGGCTGAGAAAGGCATCATAGGAAAGCGAATCGCCTGTGAGGAAGAGAACAAACTCCAGTCAAAGTCAGACCAACTTTGCACCTATGTGCCAATCCCTCCCTTGCCAATTTGAAAGGCAACAGAGGGGGAAAGCCAGAGATTCCGGCTACACACCATGGAGGCAAAGGAAACTGTTGACCTCATTTTTCCTCTGCTACAGCGTCACCTATATAACAGCCAGGGAGGCTACTTTAGTCACTGCAAACTATAAGGGAGGGAGGGGGAAGCTGGACCCTGTTGTACTCCCAATGACATCACCAGGAGGTAGAATCGTAGAATCATAGAATCATAGAATCATAGAATCATAGAGTTGGAAGAGACCACAAGGGCCATCGAGTCCAACCCCCTGCCAAGCAGGAAACACCATCAGAGCACTCCTGACATATGGTTGTCAAGCCTCTGCTTAAAGACCTCCAAAGAAGGAGACTCCACCACACTCCTTGGCAGCAAATTCCACTGTCGAACAGCTCTTACTGTCAGGAAGTTCTTCCTAATGTTTAGGTGGAATCTTCTTTCTTGTAGTTTGGATCCATTGCTCCGTGTCCGCTTCTCTGGAGCAGCAGAAAACAACCTTTCTCCCTCCTCTATGTGACATCCTTTTATATATTTGAACATGGCTATCATATCACCCCTTAACCTCCTCTTCTCCAGGCTAAACATGCCCAGCTCTCTTAGCCGTTCCTCATAAGGCATCGTTTCCAGGCCTTTGACCATTTTGGTTGCCCTCCTCTGGACACGTTCCAGTTTGTCAATGTCCTTCTTGAAGTGTGGTGCCCAGAACTGGACACAGTACTCCAGGTGAGGTCTGACCAGAGCAGAATACAATGGCACTATTACTTCCCTTGATCTAGATGCTATACTCCTATTGATGCAGCCCAGAATTGCATTGGCTCTTTTAGGTGCCGCGTCACACTGTTGGCTCATGTGAAGTTTGTGGTCAACCAAGACTCCTAGATCCTTTTCACATGTACTGCTCTCAAGCCAGGTGTCCCCATCTTGTATTTGTGCCTCTCATTTTTTGCCCAAGTGCAATACTTTACATTTCTCCCTGTTAAAATTCATCTTGTTTGTTTTGGCCCAGTTCTCTAATCTGTCAAGGTCGTTTTGAAGTGTGATCCTGTCCTCTGGGGTGTTAGCCACCCCTCCCAATTTGGTGTCATCTGCAAATTTGATCAGGATGCCCTTGAGTCCATCACCCAAGTCGTTGATAAAGATGTTGAATAAGACCGGGCCCAAGACAGAACCCTGTGGCACCCCACTAGTCACTCTTCTCCAGGATGAAGAGGAACCATTGATGAGCACCCTTTGGGTTCGGTCAGTCAGCCAGTTACAAATCCACTGAGTGGTAGCATAGTCAAGACCACATTTTACCAGCTTCTTTACAAGAATATCATGAGGCACCTTGTCAAATGCCTTGCTGAAATCAAGGTAGGCTACATCCACTGCGTTCCCTTCATCCACCAGGCTTGTAATTCTGTCAAAAACGAGATCAGGTTAGTCTGACATGACTTATTTTTCAGAAATCCATGCTGACTATTGGTGATCACAGCATTCCTTTCTAGGTGCTCACAGACTGTTTGCTTAATGATCTGCTCCAGAATCTTCCCTGGTATTGATGTCAGACTGACTGGGCGGTAATTATTTGGGTCCTCTCTTTTCCCCTTTTTGAAAATAGGGACAACATTTGCCCTCCTCCAGTCTGCAACAGAGTCATCCAAGGTCTATTATCCTTTGTAGTAACAAAAACAAACAAACAAACAAACAAACAAACAAACAAACAAACAAACAAGACTTGTAGCAACACCTTGGGTTGCAGATTCCAAAGCAGCAGCAGCAGCAGCAGCAGCTGCAATCCCCCCCCAAGTGTGACAAATAAGGTTAAAACGGTCTTTTAAGGGTGTCACACAAAAAACCATCCTCCCCACCCCAGCCCCCACCCCAGAAGGGCCTCACCCTCCTTGCCTACTTCAGCTGGCCCAAACACTTTCACAAGTCTGGGGGGAGTCACACTGCCTGCTGCTTCTCCCCAGCCCTGCGATTCCGCGCCAGAGCCACCCTTCCTCCCTAGAGGGGGGCGGAGGATGGCTATGGAAGGAGACCTAGACACAGTCCCAGTCCGGCAGGAAGCTTCTCACATGTGCACCACGTGACTCTTGCACCACTGTCTTGCCATGAGATTTGAACCCGGGCCTCTCTGGGTCTAGTCCAACACTCTAACCGTCCCACACCACCCTGCCTCTCCCACCTTCCCAAGGAGAGGACCTGGGAGATGGCAGTGAAACAGAAAGCGGTGGTCGGAGCAGAAGGACCTGAATGAAGAAGGAGAGCCAATTACCCAAGGAGCTCAGCAGGTGAAGGTGGTCTTTCCCAGCCAGAATTGCGTCAGCTGGCTTCCAAAAGCTCTCTTCCAAGAATCCCAGTCCTGGTCAAAATCCACAGAGCCATCACTCCACCTTGGGAACACCTGCAAGGACATGATGACAAGGTATCTTTTAGGCCTTCATTTGAGTCTTTTACATTTCACTGAATACAACCATACATTCTTTCCTTGACTTCCCTTCCCCCTTCCATGGTTCTATTTCTTTCTCCATTAAGACTGGATGTGGCGTTTGCCCGTTGATTTAGAAAATGTTTGAACAGGGGGGAGAGATAGGGTTAAAAATATAGACCAATAGGAAAGCCGGAGGCGGAGCCTACCTGTGTATAAAAGGGCTTAGCCCGAGGTTTGAGTGAGTTGTTGTTGGGAGTTGTTGGTGGGTTTTAGTGGGTTGGCTGGTCGGGAAAGGCAGTTGGAGGAGCAGTTGGAGATAGACATTAGGGCAGTGGGTTCTTGCAGTGGGTTCTTGATTGAGGGGAGGTAGAAGAGATAGAGAGAGGAAAATAAGACTAAGAAAGTAAAGAGTAACAATGTTTGGAATACCGTGACAGTTTGTTTGTGTCTGAAATCAAATACACTCTTCTTTATTAATTGAGAACCTGACTGAGGCTGAAGTGATTTTACCGGGGAGGACCTGGTTGGTGGCAGTGGATTAGTGGTGTACGGGTCAATAGTCTGCGAGACGACCGGGGGCTCCATACGAACGCCACAAAATTGGTGGCAGCAGTGTGATAAATAAATACGCCCGTGGTGGAATAAAAGAATACATCTGTGGTGGGAGAAATAAATACACCTGTGATGGGATAGATTTATACGCCCGTGGCGGGATTGGTTTATACGCTCGTGAAGAGGAAGTTGGATCTGGGAGTGAGGTTATTTTGGCAGAGGTATTGGACTTGTGGTTGGAAGAAGTGTCTGTGCAGGGCCAGTGTGAAGACCCAGTGCAAGCCTCCAAGGCCAAAGTCTAAAAGAAAACCTAGCCAGAAAGAATAACTTGGGGGGGGGATCTCTCAACTGACTATTTCGCTGTCAGACCACAAGTGATCAATATGCTACCCAAAAAGTCAAGAAATCCTGTTAGGGAACCAACCTATGAAAGCTCTGAGGGAGAGGAAAATGGGAATCCTCAGGGAGAAGGTCAGAGTTTAGAGGAGATATCAGAAATTCCTTCTGAGGCAGTAGAGACTAGACTCTCTTTAGAATTAAAAAAATGGAAGTTGGAACAGGAATACAAATTTACATTAGAGAGAGAAAAATTAAGGCTGAACAAGAAAGAGATAAAATGAAAATTGAACAAGAAAAAGAAAGAGATAAAATGAAAGCTGAACAAGAAAGAGAAAGAGAAAGGGAGCAGTACTATCTGTGAGGAAAAGAGATGCAATTTCAGTTAGAAATGCGGAAAATGGAATTGGCATCTGTGGAAAACCAAAATAATAATAATAGCACAAATGATCAAAGTCAGGTTAAGATAGACCTCAAGCGTTTTCCTGAGTTCAAAGAGAAGGATAATCCGGAGGCTTTTATTGTCTCATTTGAAAGAGCATGCAAAGATTCCCAAGTAAAAGATGAGGAAAAAATGATAGTATTAAGGGTTAGAATTAGTGGAACCTTAGCCAAAATATATGCGCAAATGCCAGAAGACCAGTCTAGAAATTTTGACATGTTTAAACAATTAATTTACACCCGATTTGGAATCACCTCAGAAGAGTTAAGAAAGAAGTTCAGGAGTGTGACAAAAGTGAGGGAAGAAACGTTTGCTCAACTTGGAGCCAAAATTTCAAATTACCTCACAAAGTGGCTAGAGCAGGAGGGTTCAGAAGATCAGGGAGATTATAGTGCTCGAACAATTTTGCACAACCATCAATGAGAAACTGAAATATCTGGTAAAAGAATGACATCCCAAAACTATACAGGAGGCAGCCACTTTAGCTGACCAAATTAATGAAATTAGAGACCATGGATTTGATGGTCCGAAATTTCGGGGGAAAGTGTGGGAGTACCCCAAAAACAAATTTCAATATGCCAAGGAAAGCCCTACCTCAGTGACAAATAAGGGAAATATGCCACAAACTAAAAGTCCAACTGACAAGGCCCTGACTAACATTGGTCCCACTGAAGGAAAAGGAAATAAAACTAATTATACTGGGTACAGGGAAATAAAGTGCTGGATGTTGGTAAATTAGGCCACAGGAGTTTGGACTGTGGGGATGGAAAGAGTAAAACTGTGAATTCGGGTTCTCAAAAACAGACTTATTGTATCCACTCAGTGGAGCATGAAGAGGCTAGTCAGGTTGCTAAGAAAACTGAAGTTTTAGCTAGACCTGAGCCTGAGGAAAATTTTGAGGCTCATGTGGTACAATGTTACTTGATTAAACAGGATAGTTTCCTCTTGAGAAATGCTGGGGAAAACATCTGGGTTGATGATGAAAAGTATCTTGGGTTAAGAGACACCAGCTCGCAGATTACAATCGTCCATCCGGACATAATTTCCACCACTAAATTAATACCCGAGAAAACCATAAAATTAAAAGGAATTGCCAAAGAACCAGTGATCCTAAAAGTAGCTGAAGTGGATATTAACTTCCGTGATTGGTCTGGGAAGTGGCAGGTAGCCATTTCTGAGGAGGTTCCAGCAGTAGTTTTTATCAGCTGGGATGTCCTAGAGCATGTTAAGAGTGCATTTGTAGTTACTCGCTCAAAGGGGGGCCAAGAATCACCCACTACTGAGGAAACTGAAACAGTTGCCAGTGGAGGCACGGCTGGGAAACCTCTCTTGGAAGGTTTGGCCAGAGCAGAAACTGAAGCCGTTATAGTTCCTTTTAAAAACACCCATAAGGCTAGTTTTGCTCAGGAGCAAAAGGGGGTGTTGGGTTAAGCAGTTGTTTTGAGGCAGCTAAGTCTGCTGCTCCTTTAACCCCTGAATGCCCAGAGAGATTCTGTGAAGAAAACGGGCTGTTGTATAGGGAACTCCTTGCCACACCGTATGGGGGGGGGGGAGGAGGAATCCGTAAACAACTGGTAATCCCTCATACTTATAGAGAAAAGATTTTGCAACAAGCCCATAATAACATTTTTGGGGCACACATGGAAATAACACGCACTAAACGAAGGATTGCGCAGAACTTCTACTGGCCAGGCATGGGGAAACAAATCAAGCTATATTGCCAGGCATGCGATATTTGCCAAAGACGAGGTACAGGGCAGGACAAGACAAAAGCCAAACTGTGTCCTTTACCTGTGATCTCTACCCCATTTCAAAGGTTGGGGCTTGACCCAGTAGGGCCATTGCCAAGAGCCACGAAACGGGGCAATAAATACACCCTGACCATCATAGATTTTGCAACCCGATATTTAGAAGCGATCCCATTAAGAAATACTGAGACCATAGCAGATGCATTGATTAATTACATGAGTCGCCTGGGGTTTGCAAGTGAGTTGGTCACAGACCTAGGCACCTCATTTACATCCCAGCTCATGAAAAGATTGTGGGAAGCGTGTGGCATCACACATATAACGTCCACACCGTACCATCCAGAGACTAATGGATTGGTTGAGAAGTTTAACAGAACTTAGATCCGTATGATCAAAGCCTACGTAGCAGAAAACCCTAATGACTAGGACTGCCAATTACAACCCCTCTTGTACGCATACCGAGACATTCCACAAGAGAGTACCGAGTATAGTCTCTTTGAACTTTTACTAGGGTGCAAGGTCAAAGGACCTTTAGATCTGCTCCGATTGAATTGGGAGGATCACCCAGATAGTGATCCAGATTCAGTAATGGAATGTCTGTACAAACTGCAAAACACTTTACGCCGTTCCTTAAAAATAACAGGAGAAAATTTAAAAACCGCCCAGCCAAAGCAAAAAGTCTGGTATGATAAAAAGGCCAGAGAGAGAACCTAGAAGATGAAGTGTTGCTGCTAAGGCCAATAAAGGGAAATAAATTGCAATTAGCCTGGGAGGGACCATACAAGATTGTGTCCAAAATGAATAATGTGAACTACATTATCCAGCAGGGGGATGAAGGGTGCAAAGTGGTTCACATGAACATACTAAAACCCTACCATAGAACAGAAAGCTGGGCTCTATATGCTATAAGAGAGGACCCAGAAGAAACAGATGACATACTGTGCTTGGAAGGGAGAGGGGAGCAACGTTATAATCAGGAAGAAGTGAATCTAGCCCCTTCATTAACCCAATCACAGTGGGAGGAGGTAGGAAGTATCCTACAAAAATGCAAAGCCATCTTTAGTAATGTTCCAGGAATAGCAAAGGGAGTGGTCCATCGCATAGACACTGGGGATGCTAAACCCATTGCAGTGCCCCCTTATCGGATAACTGGGACATACATGGATAAAATCTGCAACAAGGTGCAGGAGAAGCTGAAGGCAGGGATCATAACACCCTCAGAGAGTCCCTGGGCAGCACCACTATAGCTGCACCACTGACAGACTTGACTTGTAAGAAAGAACCAGAGCATGTGGAGTGGACATCAGCGTGCCAGCAGTCATTTGATGCGCTAAAGAATGCCTTGACTACCGGACCAGTCCTCATTGCACCAAACTATGACCTAGAGTTCACCATCTTTACAGATGTGTTGAATGCCAGGATCGGAGCCGTGCTGTGTCAACCGGGAGAGGAAGACAACCTGCATCCGATCATGATGATAAGAACTAATAGCAAATGGATGAAGTGGGCCCTGTTGCTGCAGGACTTCAATTTCACCATAAGAAACGTAAAAGGGTCCCTGAACATTGTGGCCGATCCTTTATTAAGAAGACCCGATGATGAAGGTTAACCATGGACAGTTAATAATTTTTCCTGTAAAGAGTTGCTTTAAATGTTTAATGCAGTTTGATCAGGAGTATAACTCTGTTCAGTTATCCCTCCTGATCAAACTTATTTAAGGGGGGAGGGATGTGGCGTTTGCCCGTTCATTTAGAAAATGTTTGAACAGGGGGGAGAGATAGGGTTAAAAATATAGACCAATAGGAAAGCTGGAGGCGGAGCCTACCTGTGTATAAAAGGGCTTAGCCCGAGGTTTGACTGAGTTGTTGGTGGGAGTTGTTGGTGGGTAGTTGGTTGGTTTTAGTGGGTTGGCTGGTTGGGAAAGGCAGTTGGAGGAGCAGTTGGCAGGCAGTTGGAGAGAGACTGTTAGGGCAGTGGGTTCTTGATGGAGGGGAGGTAGAAGAGACAGAGAGAGGAAAATAAGACTAAGAAAGTAAAGAGTAACAGCGTTTGGAATACCGTAACAGTTTGTTTGTGTCTGAAATAAAATACACCCTTTTTTATTAATTGAGAACCTGACTGAGGCTGAAGTGATTTTACCGGGGAGGACCTGGTTGGTGGCAGTGGATTAATGGTCTACAGTTCAATAGTCTGTGAGACGACTGGGGGCTCTGTACGAACGCCACATTGCCTATTTCAATTTCCCCATATATTCCTATTTCTCCCTTCCCACTATATCTAGCATACTTTACACTACTGAACTTACAATAACCCTGCTAACGTTTTAACTCGATTAACAAACAATGGTGGAAATCTGCGGGGCCTGCCTGGCTCAACAATGCCCACACCACCAGGGAACCTCCAGTGCGTGGGCCAAGTTTGGCCAGCAAGGTCTTTTGTCCAAACTGGGCCCACCTGCCCCACACCTGACATCCGCTGTGCCCTGTGGAGAGCGGGACTGAGCTGCCTGAAGCTCAGGGGGCTGGGTGTCTGGACATATGCAGGGTTGGGACGGGGGTCAAAGGTGATGGGTCAGGTAGGCGGGGACCCTAGCCAGAAATGCTGAACAGGGGTCTCCAGTGGGTGGGCAGGGAGAGGGGTGCCAGCCTCCGCCGACATGGGGCTGATGGCTTGGGCAGGGAGGAGCGCTGGGGAGGGGGCACTGGGTGAAAGAAGTTTTGGGGGTGTTTTTTAGGCCTTTCCTCTAGGATGATTTTGTTCCCTTGGATGCCTTGGAGGAGGCCCCCTTTCTCTACTTTGGGGGCTTCCTTTTGGGGCTTTTCTATGTTTTTCTTTGGGGTGGGGTCTCTTTTTTGGGGATAGGTATTCCTATCCCCTTGATGGCCAGGTCTCCCCTAACTTGCTTCCCATGGGAAGGCGCGCTTTGTTCCAGGGTCCTTCGCCTTCTCTGGAAGAAAAGAAATGGAGGTACAATCCTTATTTTCAATGACACTAGTTTGTCTTGTAGCACCCTGCTTGTGGTTAACGCTTAGCTGGAATGAAATATTCAACGCAGCAATAGAGAAATTAAAATAATAATTTATTTGTCAGACAAATAAATGAGAGACACAGTGGTATATGGATACCAAAGCTCTGCCTACTCCAGCCCTGATGGCCAGCACTTATATTTCCTCAGCCCAGCCCCCTTGCTCCTCCTTTGGCTGCCTCTGTCCAATCAGCCTGGTTGAAATTCCTATTGGTTGTTTGCTAGAACCAATCATAAAAGATACACCCATTTCCTATTACCTTTTATGGGAGACAAAGAGCTATATTTCCTTCTATCCATAAATGGCAGACAAGTAGCCATATATCTTACATTTACCTCGACCAGGCACCTTAATTACCAGATAACCTTTGGCCCCTGTTGCCCTATTCACTGCAAACCAGATGGCTAAAGCAGATGGTGCATGGTTTTTAATTTTTTATCTTAAAGAGATCTTGAGTTCACCTTCTCACACACCATAATAAGAATCTAACATAAGAATCTAACATTTCTTACTTTCTAAATCCTTTGCATAATTACATTTAAGCCAATATATTTCATACATAACATAGATAGATTTTTAGAAGGAAAGGCCTTTTCAAATTAAAAGGAACTTAGTGAAAGCTAAGTTCTCTAAATTCTCTGAAGCTTCAAAACAGCTTGGAGAGAAGCCTTTTTCCCTATCCAGCTGCTGTTTCTAAAAGCAACCTCTTCAATTTACCCTTTAACCTTATGAAAATATGGCTCGAGTCTTCTGTTAAACAATAAATTTCACTATTTACCAGCTCTTAATTGTGTTTTTGCAGCTTGATTGTATTCTGTAATTTGTATGGTCAGTGTGACCTTTTGCTCCCAGCCTCTAATTTCCTTTTACAACCCTGAAATACTGCTATTTATAGCAGTGGGGCCCTTGAACAGCTGCCAGAGTATTCAGCTGGTCTCTGCCTGGCAAATATATTTTTTAAGCTCATTTTAAAATGCAGATCTTGATTAGATGCCTCAGTCTTACACCACTTAAGCTCACCCGTTTCTCTAATTCGGTGAGATAGGGGTTACAACAGCAAGAAAGATTCATCTAAAGAACAATGGCTATTTCAGGCTCTCACACAAGAGCAGAATCTAACCAAACTGCTTTTGGTGCTCTACAAAATGCAATGTAGAGGGACAGTAGTACCATTAATAAAGATTTGATTTTGAAGGTGCCTCAGATTTTATCGACACATCGAGTGAAAGATACATTCAAGAATAAGTCCCACTGAAGGCCATTGAATGGGCCTTAGTCATGGCTTATCTAAGCCCCATGGTGGGTACTGGGACCTTGACTTTGTATGCATTTCAGCTCTGATGGGCTGAGGTTGGATGGGGTGGGCTGGAGGGGCTCCTTCAGGGGGCTGGGTGTCTGGACATATGCAGGCTTGGGAGGGGGGCAAAGGTGACGGGGCAGTGGGGGGGACCCCAGCCAGAAATGCTGGACAGGGGTCTCCAGCGGGTGGGGAGGGGAGGGAAGGGTGAGAGGGGGGTGCCCACCCATGTGGATGCGAGCCAGATGTTAAGGGCTTGAGGCAATCCACATGGGTGGGCAGGGAGAGGGGTGCCAGCCTCCGCTGAAATTGGGCTGGTGGCTTGGGCAGGGAGGGGCACTGGGGAGGGGGCACCGGGCGAAAGAAGTTTTGGGGGTGTTTTTTGGGCCTTTCCTCCAGGATGATTTTGTTCCCTCAGATGCCTTGGAGGAGGCCCCCTTTCTCTATTTGGGGGGCTTCATTTTGGGGCTTTTCTATGTTTTTCCTTGGGGGGTTCTCTTTTTTGGGGATAGGTATGCCTATCCCCTTGATGGCCAGGTCTCCCCTAACTTGCTTCCCATGGGTAGGCGCGCTTTGCTCCAGGGTCCTTCGCCTTATCTGGAAGAAGTCTGGAAGAAAAGAAATAGAGGTACAATCCTTATTTTCAATGACACTAGTTTGTCTTACACCACTTAAGCTCACCTGTTTCTCTAATTCAGTGAGATAGGGGTTACAACAGCAAGAAAGATTCATCTAAAGAACAATGGCTATTTCAGGCTCTCACACAAGAGCAGAATCTAACCAAACTTTGGTTCTTTTGGCTTATTGTGGCTTTCCCAATTGGGGAAGGGGGCGTCTGCCAGAGATGGAAGGAGGGATCAGGACCAGCTGTGCAGCCCTATTTGACAGTGGGGAAGGAGGGACGGAAGGAGGGAGGGAGGGCAGGCACTATTTGACGTGCAGCGTAAATTAATAATGCAGAGTTTTTAAGTGAAAGAATAAGAGCTTTACTGAGTTAAAATAAACTTCTTCATAAACAACATGGTTCCAAACACTTTGACTGAGATTACATGCTGCTCACAACTGAGGCAGACTGACTGAAATCTTACAGAGAACACACAGAGAAAATGGCTGCCAAGACACATGTCAGAGTGACTCAGCAGTTAGGCCTGAATAACTTTCGTAGGCCCAAATGATTGTGCAGTCCCAGCACTTCCCAGCCTGCTTTGCTGCTTCTGCTCTCACGTGTCTTTGTCACATGACACTATTGGGATCCGCATCAGCTGCGAGGCTCCCTTTGACAGGGAGGGAGGGACGGAGGGAGGGAGAGATCACACGCTGGTTTGCAGGTGGGGGGAGGAGAGGGACAGCTCCGCAGCCCAGCTGGTTTGGGGGGGAGAGAGATCACACTGGTTGGGGGGGGAGGGAGGAGAAGCATCCCCCTGGACACCTCTGCAGCCCAGCTGGTTTGTGGAGGGGGGGGAGAGAGACAGAGAGCTGCTTGTGGGTGGAGAGAGAAAGGGCTGGGTTGGGGGGGGAGCTTGGCACCCACCCACCCTGTCCCCTTGGTGGAAGCAGCCAGCGCCCGCCCTTCCACCCTGCGCCCACCCCTGGGTGGTAGATTACTGCCTGTTTTTTATATTGGATCGTAGATCACAGGCTACTTGAAGTTGGACATGCCTGCCGTAAAGCAACTCACGGGAGACCAGCAGCCATGGTTAGCATCGTTTTACTGATTGAAAGTGAAATAGGAAACAAAGAATACCTATAGTAAAGTGAAATTTACAAGGAACAGTATATCAAAACAGGGATTGAACTGCGCAAAGCCAAAGTTCCACTACGGAGTAGTAGCCCCTCCCCTCTTGCAAACCTGTAAAAGCATCCTCCTGCTTTTGATAACCTTACTGCTCCATTTTTTTTTTAAAAAAAAAAACTCCAACAAAGCTGTGCTGTGGGAAGAGACTTCTGCTTTCTATGCTTCTCACAGCAACCCTGAGTTCATTCTCTTTTCTGCAATAATTTGGAAAAGCGGATTATGATGCCCATTTTATTATTCCCAAGGGGACGCTTTCTGACTACAGGCAATTTGCTTCTAATTCATTCTTTCACCCTCTCTGATCACTTGAGCCTAGAGTTAGACCAACTACCTCAAGTAGTCTTCAGTGTCTTTCAAGAAGCATTTGCAAACTGTAAAACATCCACCTCCCTTGCCTCTGGGTCAGGGAGGTTGTGCTAGTAAATATTAGAGAGAGAGGAGGTCACCCAGCAACAGAGCGGCATTCAGTATATGTTATTTTTTTTCTGAAACCTTGTCATCTAATACTACATTTTCAAATATCTTCTGACCAGGGAGTCTATGGAACATCCATCTATCTATCTAATCAGTCCTTTCATAAAGCCAGGGTTTCAAAACACTGATTGATTCATTAAGTGTCTCTAAAGTCAAACCACCCATCTTTCTGTTTTATCATCTTAGTTTTCTCATCGCTCTCACTCGGTGCCTCTCTCTGTTTATCCTCTAAATTCCATGAGAGTTAGTGTTGTGCTGAAGTGTTTAATCATATACAGCTTATCTGGTAACAGTATAAGCACTTTCTGAGGGCAAAACCTTACCTGGTGAAGTTACTTTATTGATATGTGCTGCTTACTTTTTTAAAAAAGCTTCCTTTGTGGAATTATTTTATTACAATTCTGCAAAAGTGTCCTGAACATTCTGTTAATTTTATTTCAACTGCAATAATGTGCTGCACACTGTCATTGTTCTGTGTTTCTTTGTTTTGTCTTGTACGTATGTTGCTGTTTTTGGAAACTCAATAAACATTATTTTAAAAAACCAAAATAGTTGCTTTTTAAAGTGGTAATTTCACCATTTTACTATTCTTGTAGCCTGGTTGAGGCTTTGTTGTAACCAAGCGGCTTAAAAATCTTGTGAAACAAATGAACAAGCAAATGAAATGAAGTACTACTCAGAGTAGATCCATTTAAACATATGAACCTAAATTAGTCATGGCCATTAGCTTCAATGGGTCTTTGTGACTAACACTGGGCACAAAGCTTTGTCGTTTACCATTCCTGGATTGCTTTTGGTCATAGAAAATGTGATAAAAGCTCTGAAACTGGTGGGCATTTTTACTTTCTTTTTTCCCCCGACAGGCAGAAGATCGAGTCTGCCTATAAATAAGTACAAAGTTCCTCTGGATGTATTGAAACCAAACCTATAGTTACTTTGCTTCCTTTTCATATTCTGTCACAGAGCCTGCATCACCAACCCATTTAAAATGGCAGGGCTATGCAACAAAAGGGAGGGGGGAATGGAGAGAGGGGAGAGAAATGTTGGCTCTGGAAATGCGACAGACTCATTGTGGCTTTCTATTGTGGGCTTTTTTCTTTTGAAAGAGAGGCTGGTTTTTCTTGTTGCTTTTGTATTTCTGATGAATGTCCTTGCTTGGTTCATTCTACAAGCCCTTGCCAGCATTTTTGGCTCAAACAGCCTGGATGGAAGGCTTGTGTTCTCTTCAAACATTTCAAAGGCACCTTTGAAAACACCCCAGGAAAAAAAAAGACGTTTGTATTACAACTACAGTTGCTCACCTCCCATTATAGGGAAGAAGCTTCTAATATGATGATGTTCTAAATAAAAAAAGGCCAGAGTTCAATCATATGGATAAAGAGAAGCATGGAAACACAACCAGAGCAGAGCATCAAAGCATTTCTTAGGCCCACAGATGCACCAAAAGTGCTAATGAATTTTCATGAGGTCTACTTCTTCTTTTTATGGATCAAACTGAAGAAGAAATCTGGAGTACTTCAGATGGGAAAAATGAGAAAGTGAAATTGATATATTCATCCATCCCTAGCAGTGTGGTGCCTGTGGGTTATTGAGGACTTACCATGGCACACACAAAACCTGTAAGCAATTCCTCTCCCTTTTTCCTTGAAAAGTACATAGAGCTGAAGGACAAAGCTGGAAGAGGCATCCCCCCTCTCTTTGATTGGTTAGGGGTGAAAAGAGAACAATCAAGAAGACTGTGGGGTGGGGGAAGGAAAATTGGGTGACTAGCAGGAGGTGGGGGAGGGGAAATGGGGTACAGCAGGAATCAGAGAGAATTGGGGGGGAGAGAGATAGGTTTAGAACAGAGATGGACAAATTATTAATTTCAGTGTCAATTTTTCTCATTTTCCCACTCTCCAGTTCTTTGTGTTCCTATATCAGTTTGCATTTTTGGTAAAGAAGGTCCTCATGAAAATTCATTAGCATTATAATGTAAATTTCTCCTAATGTACACATTTTTGCAGAGCTATTTCACCTAATAACATGCACTTCTGCATGGTTTCCACTAACATATACACTTTTATGCATACTTTACTCTAGCATATGCATTTTCACACACAAAACTTGGCTAGAGTTGCAGAATTTGGAGAAGTGCAAATTTCAGATGCCGGCTGTGTTTCGGTTCACGAATTGTTTCAGGATGTGCAGATTAGATACAGGTGAAACTCGAAAAATTAGAAAATTGCTGATTTCATTTAATATTCTAATTTTCTGAGATTGTTAATTTGGGGTTTTTATAAGCTGTACTCCATAATCATCACAATTATAACAAATAAAGGCATGACATATCTCGCTTTGCATGTCATGAGTCTATCTCAAATATTGGTTTCACCTTTTAAGTTGAATTACTGAAATAAATGAACTTTTCCATGGTATACTAATTTTCCGAGTTTCACCTGTAGGTTCTGCTTTAAATGATAACTGAATCAAATTTCTTCCTCATCCCTACACACACAGGTTCTGCTGAAACCCACCCCTCAGCCTGCCTCCATTTCCAGCCACCATCAAATCACAATTGCATCTGTCTTCACTGACTGAACGATTAAAAACGATGAATCTGATGTGCGCCCACAGATGCATCCTGCTGTGATTTGTTGTCCTCTTACGTAAACATCCTGAAGATTCATGAAGATCTATGCATGGGGTCAATCCTTTTGCAGTGCTGGCAAGCACCAGACCTGAGATTTACAAGACAATTCTGCAAGCGAGCTGCCCTCAAGCTTTATATACCAGTGCTAACACCTTGAACTTGGCCCAGAAACAAATCATCAACCAGCAGAGGTGCTGCATGCATCCTGACAGTCTCTCACTCCAGTCAACCTCTGTGCTGCATGAGAAAGTGCCAGATCATTCCCAGACTTTATACTTGCTCCTTCATGGGGAGTGCAACCCTATCCAGGTCAGGCAATTGACTAAGTTCTCAGGCAAAGGAACCAGTCACCCACAGTCCCGCAGCTTATTTTTTCTCATCCACCTCACCACTGTGTCCAAGCACCAGTCTAGGGGCCACACCACCTCTCCTGATTGAGATACTATGGAATAATAGAGCTGTGTGTCATTAGCATATTGATGGCGCCTTCTTCCCAAACGCCTAATGGCCACTCCCAGTGGCTTCATATAGAAACTGAGGGACGCGAGTGGCACTGTGGTCCAAACCACTGAGCCTCTTGGGCTTGCTGATCGGAAGGTTGGCGGTTCAAATCCCTGCAACCGAGTGAGCTCCCATTGCTCTGTCCCAGCTCCTGCCAACCTAGAATTTCAAAAGCATGCCTGTGCAAGTAGATAAATAGGTACTGCTGTGGCAGGAAGATAAACGGTGTTTCCATGTACTCTGGTTTCTGTCACGGTGTTCCATTGCGCCAGAAGCGGTTTCGTCATGCTTTCCACACGACCTGGAAAGCTGTCTGTGGACAAACGCCAGCTCCCTCGGCCTGAAAGCCAGATGAGCGCCGCAACCCCAGAGTCGCCTTTGACTGGACTTAACCATCCAGGGGTCCTTTACCTTTTTACCTATATAGAAATTATTTAGCATTGAGTATAAACAGCACCCCGTAGTCCCCCATAGCCAGGGGGCACTCTCCCCATGCCACTTTTTGGACTAGGTCCTATAAGTAGGACCATGTCCACTGTAATACAGGGTTTCAAGTCCCAATTCCCGGAGCTGGTCTGGGAAGATACCATGGTTAATGGTATCAAAAGTAACAGAGATATTGAGAAGCAGGAGCAAAATCTCACTCCCCTTGTCCTGCCCTATCAGTCAGGGTGACCAAGGCCAACTCATTCCCAGGCCAGGCCTGAACGCAGATTGGAATGGATCTAAATAATCTACCAATCTAAATAGTCTACTAGTATGAATTGAATATTGTGTGTTTGTGGTGGGGAGAGACCCCATGTAAAACAGAAATTCAAGATGATGTTTTAATGCTACTGGATTTGACCTTTACCCAGACCTCATGGAAAAGCAAATGATTATGTCTGTGTTTTTTCTCTCCTTCTGTCTACTGGGGGCAGAGGGAATAAGCAAGAAGAGGCTCTCACAGCACTCTGGAAATTCCAAATATGCCCACAGACGCCCTCAAAATTTGGCAACCCCAGAATTTGTCTTAGGGGAAAAATAAAACAACCTGAAAGTTAAGTCAAGCATAAATATTTATTTTGGCCCAGAAATATACAGCAGCATATATAATGCAATAGACTTTTATGCTTCAGGAGGTTGAATATTTTTCAAATATGGGGTTAGTTGCTTAATAATGGAGTCTTTCTTTATTCTTTTCTGTTTTAAAATTGCCAGGTCCCCTTTAGAAAGAATTCTAAGAAGGATGAGGATATTAGAATAAATAATAAATATGTTACAACGTGAATTTGGGAGATTCATTATGTATTATTTCTCCCTTTTAAATCTTTAATTATAAAATCTTGGGGATTCTTTTTTACCCAGAGAGCATCCTTTTCTTAACTTTAATACCATAGAAAACAATTTGGGTTTGGCTTCCATGTGATGGAAGATCGATCCGTCACTTAAATCTGTGCAGTTTTGGTTGCTGTGTCGATTTCTTGACACAGTGAGTTGCTTAGGACTCTGACTGGGATAGGTTTTCCAATATAGCTGTGTGATGGAAATCACCATGAAATGTTTCAGAGATTGTTGATGCTGTGTCTGAGGAGACAATAGCTCAGTACAATATAGGGATGACCTTTTTATGTGACGAGGAGAATATGGATCAAGATTCCTGCATGCCCTATAAAGGACTTTGGAACTTGGATGATGATGATGATGATGATGATTTAGACATGTAAAGACAGGTTCTGGTGGATTGAGTGGTCAAGGCCAAGAGAGGGTTTCTGCACGTGCTGTAGAGGAAAGTGAGGGGCAGATGGGGCTCATCAACCTGGAAAGGCAGACCATCTAGGAGAAGGAAAACTCTGATCCTAAACCTCCACTGTCCTGTGGGATATCTTTGAGAGAAGAGAAGACTAAGGAGTAACCCTACATAAATCCAGAGTGGAGTCCCTAAGATGGTTGGATGGCACCTTGTACACCTTCTTCTGGCAACTCCTGCAGCCAAGCTGGTGCCAAACATATTGCTGTCTCTTCCTTTGGATCCCGTCAACAAGACTGAGAGAGGGCTCTTCTTGTCTAGGCAGCCCAGGACCTCCATGCACACTGCCCAGGCTTGCACCCCAGGGAGGTCGCTTAGGTGCTAAAAGGCCAAGGAGAATGTTTGTGTGCAGGGAGGAGTAAGTTGTAAGCAAGCACATTTTATGACATTGCACAACATCACTGCTCATCATGGGCATGCCTGTTATGGCATCAGTAGCTTTGTGGAGCTAGTCTGGCTTTAACTGGAGATGCCAGGGGCTAAATCTGGGCTCTTCTGCATGCAAAACATACCACTGCTATTTGGAGTGGCAGCATGTCTATGCAGCCTCTCAACAACATAATGGCTTGAAGTGTCCAACGTAAAAATACTCCCAATATCACACACACACACACACACACACCCCACTGTAGACTAATGAGTGAAATGAATACCAAATATTTGAAATACTAGTGGGGTAGCTATGCTAGGCTACAATCACATAACAGTTTATTCTGTTTTGATTGACCATTCTATTTGTGCTTCCCCATGATTTAAAAGTCATTTCCAGAAATCTATTGGAATATAGTACAAGTTTAGTACTCGCATCCATGTAATTTGCAAACAGATTCCCCCCCCCCCCCAGAAACAAATAACACAGAAAGAGTGGCAAACTTGCACTATATCCCACTACGTTTCTGGAAGTGGCTTTTAAATCATGGGGAAGCTCAAAAATAATAAACTGCCATGTGATTGAAACTTGATCTAAGTCTTTTGCAGCAAAACCAACAAGTCTGCCAGCACTAGATGGCACTAAGGAACCAAATGATCACCCTGCTTTTTCTTTCTCCCCCTATATTATTATTATTATTATTAGTCTTGGAACATGCAAATTACAGATAGTTGGGGTTTTTTTTTTAATGGAATGAAAGAACTGTAGCCATTTCAATGATGCAAGAATCTGCAAATCTATACCACTTAGTATTTATCGTGGAATAGTTTCAGGGTTTCTTTGTTTGCTTGTTTTGCATGATGCCACGTGACAACGTCATTATTCAGCAAGTCTTCCAGAACAAGCTACTCATCTTGTAGTTTATGCAGTGTCAATCCACAGGTCAAGGTTCTGATCTGCTCATGGGCCTGAGGGGGGCAAAATAGGAAAGTGTACACCAAATCACAGCAATTGTTTCATGGTTTATGAAATCACAATTTATGCAACCATGGTTTATGAAACCAGAATGAGTCATTAATCACAAGGCAGTAGTCAACAACCAAATGGGGGCCTTGGCTGGATTTTAAAGGGTTTGGAGGAAAGTTTTAGGGCAGGGCATAGGTGAAATGCAATGGAAATTATGGCTTTTGGCCCTAACAAAAATCCATCTCTGCATATATTAGAGAAAAATACTGTACATTGAAAGCTGTGGTGCTGCATAATGATTCAGTTTGCTCATATATTGCCCGCAGTTCAGCCATGAAGCTCATGGTGAGGTGGTACTAAGGGGACTTATTATCATGTATGTCGGAGTTGCCCGGAAAAGCAGGCATTTTGAGGACTGGTGTCCTTGGAAGTATCAAAAATAATTCGGGAGCCCATGGATTTCTTAACCTGATTTTGTTCATTGCCCTTCTTTGAATGCCTAAACGCTGATAGAAAGACTTCGGTTTTATTGACTTTTCTTTTAGTGGCCACTCGGCTCTCTATAGCTCAAACCTGGAAGGAACCCTTGACTTACGATATAGAAATGTCTAGCGAAAGGCTGTCACTGAGAAAATAAAAGAGATAAAAGGAACAGAAAAACCAGACAAATTGTATGCACTATGGTGGCCATTTATTCAGTATACAAATGAAACTGGTCTTAAAGATAAGCTCCCTAAAGCATATCTGCAGATACGGCTGTACTGAACAGTGTGACTTAAACTACCGTATTTTCCGCTCTATAGGACACACTTTTTCCCCTCCAAAAATTAAGGGGAAATGTGTGTGCGTCCTATAGCTCCTTGGCTTCAGCAATAGCAACGAAGCCTCCGAAGCACAGAGGGAGCACTCCCGGTCCCACCAGGAGATGCTGGGGACTGAACCTGATGCCTTCTGCATGCTAAGCAGTTGTTCTACCACTGAGCTATGGCCCTAGCTCACCATATTGCTGTCAGGCTAAAATGGAGAAGGTGGAGGCTGAAGTGTGTATGCTCTGTGGAGGAAAGGTGGGATAGAAGTTTAAGAAGGAATAAAGTATGTAAACTAGCCTATAAGTGAATAAACTACAGTATATTTTTAACTTGCTCTCCTAATAATTTGTATATAAATTATAAAAGTGGTATATAAATTTTGTTAAATAAAAAAGAGGAAATGTTCAGACTTTCAAACAGTATATTATGCCCGAGCTTTCATTGCTGAAACTCCCAACAGCATTTTCATGCTCACAAACACCTGATGAAGGAACCATTGTGACATAACCCATTCAAGCAGAGTGAAGGGGCAACAGGCTGTCAACAGTGGCAGTAGTTGGGGGCTCCCATCTATTAAAAAGCCACAGAAAGTCTTTTCATACTGCCTGAGGAATTAATCCCTTATTTAACGTTCATAATTGCTGGATCGATTTAACAGGACTGGAGCTAACATTTGCTTGGATTTGGCACCATTGATAGGGAACTGCCTGCTGCGTCCTCCGCTTTGAAGTCACCCTGGTCTTTGGGCCTCCAGCACCTTCTTCAGCATGTCCAAACCCATCTAAGAGGCATATGATACTGGTGTTCTACTGGGTTAGGAAGAAGCCCCTGACAGAGAAGCCGTGCTCTACCATCTCGGCCAGACCTTCTGCCTCTGCACCGGCTTGCAACACTCCTCACATTTCACCCTACTTCATGAGGAGCAAGACACAATCTGCTCCGCTCAGGAGGTCCAGCAGGCGCAAGGTGCTGCGATTGCCGAATCTCACTGACCCCAAGTTTTTAAGATCTGTCATTGGCAGCATTGGCTGGAAGAGAGCCCGCAGGCGTGGCAAACAAAAGAAGACTCCAGCGGGAAAAGGAAAAGGGGTGAGGGCTAGGCTAGAGGCAAGAAGGCTCCAAAGCTATTTGCGGGGTGGGATTGCTTTGGAAGATGCCTTCTCACAATCTCTACCCTTGAACCACGTAAGGACATAAGAAGTGCCTGCTGGATGAGGCCACATTGGCCTGTCTAGTCCAGCATCCTGTTCTCACAGTGGCCAACCAGAGGCCTGTGGAAACAAGAGCATTCTGTATCCCCTTCCTGCATCTTCCAGCAACTACTATTCACAAACGTTACTGCCACTGACTGTGGAGGTAGAGCATAGCCATCGTGCCTAGTGGCCATTGATAGCCTTTCCTGCATAAAACCATCCAAGTTGGTGGCCGTCACAGCTTTCTGTGGGATTGAGCTTCCAGAGGGGTAGCTGAGCATGCCTGCTGCAGGAAAAACAGTCATTAAAAGCACATTTCTCCCAAAGAATCCTGGGAATTGCAGTTTGTAAAGGGTGCTACAAATTGTAGCTATGCGGTAGAAGGGTAATCTACAGTTCCCAGGATTCTTACAGGGGAGAAGCGATAATGCTTTTAATGTATGGTGTGTATACAGCCTCAAATTAGCTCCACCAGCTCTGTAATACTAGAGCAAAGATTATAATGCATATTGTTGTTGTACTTTTATAAATATTATAAAACCCATTCCTGCAAGCCATGTAGTCTGGAATAAACTCAGTCACCCCTCCCATCATTAATTGTTTCTTCTAGGTGGGGAGGGGTGTTGGATCTGCTTCCTTGCCTTGAAGAAAGGCGCAGGTCAGATGTGTGCCCAGAGCTGGCCACCCTTCGCAAGAGAGGTGTGTTGGTTCAAGGTGGCCACGCGGCCTGCAACTTGCACTCCTTCCTGACGTGTCTTCCCCAAACCCCTTCTTCCAGAGGCTGTGTTGAAGTTTTCCATCACGTGGAACACAAACTCGCAGAACTACCTCGAGGCTCAGGCAGTGGTGGAAACCCTCCTCAAACATGAGACGCCAGAGAGCCTCCTGCAATACGAAGGGATCAAAGCAGCTGTGGAGTCTCGCCTACCATACACGGCACTTCCAGAGGCTGGGCCGGTTACTGCAGGCCTCCATGTTCCTTGATTTCATGTGACAAAACATGAAGTTGCCTGACGCCGCCAAGTGGGACGAGGAGATGGACACGTGATGAGCTTTATTTATTTATTTATTTATTATTAATTTTATTGAGTACAAATTAGAAAAAAATACAAATATACAAAAAAAGGAAAATACATGTAACCAATAGAAAATTAGAAAAACATTTTACCTCTTCTCAAATCTACAATTATTATTTACACCTCTACAAAACAATATTCACAATAAAGAAAAGAAATGAAAGGTAAAACATAAAAGAAAAGAACAAGAAGAAGATAAAGAAAAGGAAGAAATAAGATCAAGAACGAGAATTTTAAAAGTAGATAAGTATTCACTATACGCAGCCATTTCCAATCTATATTTATGTTCAATTATGAACCAGCCCCAAAGAGCAGGTCGAAAGGAACCCGAAGCCTCCGGAGCCCAGCGGGAACTCCCGCCACGCTCCTGAGGCTTCGGCTTGCCTTCACTGAAGCCTGGAGAGCGAGAGGGGTCAGTGCACAGCGACCCCTCTTGCTCTCCAGGCTTCCAAGGTAGCCGCCTGAAGCCTCCAGAGCACAGCAAGAACTCCCGCTGCACTCCGGAGGCTTCGCATGAACGTACCTTGAACACACAGAACGTACCTTGTTTTGGAGGGGGCGAAGAAGAAAAAAAATTCTCCCCTCTCTGTGCAGCGCCCCTTCAGCGAAGAGGCAGGAGAAATGGAAGGGGCTCCGTTTCTCCTGCCGCTTCGCTGAAGGGGCGCTGAGCAGAGAGGGGGAGATTTTTTCCCCCTTGTTCTCCCCCTCTAAAACAAGATGCGTCCTATGGTAGGGTGCGTCCTATAGAGCGAAAAATACGGTATATTCTTCCCAGGGAATGACTATCTGTGATGGATTAAGTAATTTGTGTGCTGTTCCCGGGCCATTATATGGTGGACTTTCTGGATTAATAAGGATTATTTACGTTGATGGACAACCTGATGTCTATTATTGGGGTTGCTATGTTATGTATCTTTTTAATCATCATCATATGAAGAAGAAAATAATTAAAAAAACCAAAACCATGATTAATGCTAAAGCACTCCCCTAGCTAGTTTGTTTGCATATGTAAGACAAGTGTACAGCCTACCATCAGTTTATATACTATTTCATTCTATGTGTGGGAAGTTTGTCATGTTTGATGCGATTCTTTGTTGGCTTGTTCTGCCCTTGCTGCACAAATACAGTGACAACAACCAGGCTTCCAAACAGCGGCGTCTGCCTGCAAGCAAAGATCCCTGCAAAATTTAACAATTCGTTGCTTCCTCATTTGTTCTGTAAGCGTGAAACGCTTAATGAGGTGGCTTAATGTTTAGCAACGTGCATGACACAGGCACACAGTAGGGTTCCCCCTGCTGTTTTCAAATTGCTCTGTGATGTAAACATGAAAAATGCATACCAGCGATGCTTCCAAATGCTGAAGGACTTTGGTGAGGGGAAAATGCATTGTGCCCTTTCATGTCAACCCAGCAGGCTTTGACTCTTTGCTTTCGTACTGCATAAATGTACACAAATCCTGCTCTATTATTGATTATTTATGAAATGTATATCCCGCCTTTCCTCCCAAAGGAGCCCAGCGCAGCAAATACACAAATGAAAAAGCAATGAAAAACAATTCCAATGTAGATACAGACTGGGAAAGATCTCTGCATGCACATGGCAGCTTATTCTGTTTCCCCAAAATTTCCCTGTTAATCTCCATGTTTTATTTGAGCTTTCACATGATGCAAAAGCCGCTTCCAAAAATACAGCAGAATATAGCACAAGTTTGGTGCTCATTTCCATGCTAATTGTAAATTGATTTTTTCTGGAAGCAAAAAAACACAGAAATGAGTGCTCAACTCGCACTATATTCCACTATAGTTCTGGAAGTGGCTTTTGCATAGTGTGGAGGCTCAAATGTAATGTGGAAATTGCAGACCCACTTGCAGTGACCCTCGCCCCCAGGGGACCAGGCCCAGGATGTCGATAGTTTTAACAAACTGTACAAGACAAATGTTCTGAGATTTAAAATTGGCCACAACCTTTATTGATTACAGTTGTAGGCTTTGGCTCAGGAATTGGGTGTATATCCATTCTCAACCTCTTGATGGAGGGCTGATGCTTCAGCAGAGTTTAAGGAACCTGGGTTTAAGGAACCACCTCAAGATGCAGGTCTCCCTAGGTGGCCTGTCTGCCACCACACTTGGCTTCTGGACAGAGTCTTCCCAATGCATCCCTCTAATGGGGTACCCTGCGATCGCACCTGTTTGGGATAGGGGTCTTGCACCACTTCATCCCAACCTCATACTAAACTAGAGGCATTCCATCCAATGCCTTATATGCCAAAAGTTGCGACTATTGCTATGAGGAAGGCGAAACCTCCAAATGGCCATTCTGTTTGCAGGCTAATTCCTTCCCGACTCTGAATATGGCAACCATTCGACCTGTCATTTGAGGCACAGGGAGAACCGTATAGCACCTCTGCAGAGGGAGCTGCACTTGCTGTCAAGATGTTACCATGCATACTTCAATGTTTGGTTAACCCACTTTTAATTGCACCAATCTAAATTTCTGGTATGTGCTTGAATCCCTCCTGTGAATAAATGGCAGTCTGGAGGCACCCTGTAGTACATTTAACCCACCAATGGAATAATGTAAATTCCATTCCATTCCATTCCATTCCATTCCATTCCATTCTAGCAACGGACATGTTCAAAAATTGTCTAAATGCTACAGTTTTAGCAGCTGAGACTCCCCAATCGTTTCTAGATGTGCAAAATCAGTACAATAAGCCAGCAGTTTAAAGGGTGATCAGGCAAAATAAATGTTTTCATATACCAAAAAGAAATTCCTGTGAACTTCTGCAAATCTGCAAGATACGACAGAATGGTAAGAACAATGATTTCTGGGGAGCAACGGATCACTGAGCCGTCAAGCAGTTTCTCGCTATATTTCATTATAGGATGGCCGCTCCTCAGGTTCCAGGATGTGTAATTCTGGGGCCCAACCAGACTGGTGTTTTTATTGCAGGTGCATTCTGCAACATGTTATTGATACAGTAACAGTGCAATAGTGGTGGATTTATTCAGCTTTAGTTTGTTCTGCAAAGCTTTCCCAATGCTACCACAATTTTCCTGCTGGGAGGAGCTGTAACACAACAAAAACAAACAAAAATAAACTAGAACATTGGTAGTGTAAAACATTACATAGAACAACAGAATTGTAGAGTTGGAAGGGACCACAAGGACCCTGCAATGCAGGAATATATTGCCTAATATGGGGCTCGATCCCATGATCTTGAAATTAAGATTCTCAGGAAGTTATGGGATATGCATTGACTGGGAATAAAACTGTGTGACTCCCTCTCCTCAAAAACTTTTGCAGGTGCCCAGAGTATTGAAATCAGGATCATGTGTGAGCTCCCCCAAAACATCACCAGCACAAATCATTATCAATGCTCAATAAGAAGGATGCATTCAGGAAACCCTTGATTGAGTAACTTTCAACCCCCTTAACCATTAAGGACAATTTCTGAAAATTTATTGCAATAGCAAATGCCCTGCACCTGTAAAGGAATGAAAAAAAAAGTCCCTCTCCTGTCCACTGGTATCTGATGCTCAGACTGCTAAGCAGTCTGCCCTTTGGCAGCGGAAGGCAGAGCTGCAAGCAATTTATAATGTGCATAACATTTTTGCAACCATTGGGGTGGCAATCAAACCCCCGCCTAGCGAACACAATAATGGAGAATCTGGTTAATCACCAATTAGTGGCCATTCCCTACTAGGACCCTTGAGGGAGAGAAGGAGCCTGCAGCCTGAGTCACATCACGGTTTTTCCACATTAGACAGACAGGAGCAGTATATTAAAATGAGCGGCAGGAAGTCAAATGCCACCCACTTGTCTCCCATGCAAGTTTTAATTATAGCACTAGATTTTCTCGAGACATGTCATCAGTCTCCCCGTTAAGTTGCCTCCTTTGTAAAACAAAAAAATTGGCCTCTGAGGAGGAGGAGAAGCATGTAGCCAGCAAGCAGCTGCAAAGCCAGCAACCGGCACGTTTAATTCTGCCAAATTAAACCACAGCTCATAAAAACGAAGTGGGAAGAGAAGAGCCTAACGAGGCAAGTGACCTTGCTCGAAAGGTAAATAAAATGAGAAAAGGATTTCAGTGGCTTCACTTGCTTAGTGAATTAAGTTCAGCTGAGTAGAAAGAAGGCATGGAAATAACTCCTGAGCTGAGCGCTTACCGCTGCAAACTTCAGAGCTAAGCTGGTGATCATGGGCTGGTTCATTCTTTTGTTTTTCAAGATTTGGAGAGCTATTAGCATAGTGTAGTCATTCTTGAAAGAGGAGCAGGCATCCCTCAAGAGCCATCAATTGTGGCCAAGAGGAGACCAATGTAAGGCTCAGTAGTAAGTCAGAAGCTATCACTCAGGTTAGACCAGGGTAGGGGACCACAAACCCAATGCAGCCCTCCAGGCCTGTCTATCTGGCCTCTGGGCCTCTCCCCAGATGATGCCCCTCTCCCTAGGCCACAACTCTCACCTGTCCTGCTCCACGCTCCTGGATGGCATGTGTAATAATGGCTCTTTTTTGTCTGGGTGGAGGGTGGGGTGAGGGTGTGTGTGTAGAACATTTGACTTTTGCATGGCTGAAAAGCAGCATATTGTCTCAAGGTGAGAGTTGTACCAGTTGCTCTGCCCACATTGGACTTTGGTCTGGCATGCGGCCACTGGAAGTTACCTATGAGGTTATGCAGGCCCTGGGCTGCAAAAGGTTTATGATATATTGTTAGCTGCCTTGAAACTTTGAGTGATATTCTCAAGACAGGGTATAAATGCATTCAATTAATCAATAAATTATTTTCCCCGAAAGGTAAGAGGTATTTTCAAAGACTCTGAAAAGGCAATGGAAGTTTATTGAGGCCCAGCATTTCCTGGATCCCTTTATAATTCTTTCTACTGCAAGGGCCCAAACTAGACAGTACATTATGTCCCTAATTGCTGGGGTGAATGTACATATACATGTATGCTTGTAACATGTGCATAGTGCCCACGACACCAGCTCCTAGTCAGAGTGGAAGTACAGTAAG